AACAGCCTCTCACCATTTTACTTTAATTCTTGTTGCTTTATATATATTTATTCAAAATTTCCCTTTTTTCAGAATTAACCATTTAGATATGGTTTAATAATACCCGAGGCAAAGTATACAATACTTAACTGATAAATTGATAATATTATTATTTTATAAATCTTGACTTCTGAACTGAAGGCTGCCTAGTCCTCAATAACAACATAACAACAACACTTTTAAGATTTCGTGTGGAATTTCAGATTTAAAAAAATATTACTTTAGCTTTAAAACAACAGTTTTAATAATTAAGCATTTGTTATAGAACCATTAATGATATATGCGTGTTACTTCATGTTCCATCAATCAAAATAGAATCCAGAATTTCATAGATAAGAAAAGTATTAATAAATCTTCATTTTCTCGTATAGAAGCACTATCATTTCTAACTTAATTCTACTTCTTTATTAATAATAAGGGAAATAGGACAACAGAATTAGACAACAAAATTAAATGTTTCATAAAATATCACAAAAGAGTTTTAAAGTTTTCATTCATCTTCTTTTTTAAATGTTTTCTTCTTATTTTTTTGTCATATAATTGTATAGAAATATAACTATATATTTGGTCGTGATGAGAATGGAGAATTTTCATTCTTGAAAATTGATTTTAGAAAAAAAATACAAATTAACCTTTCCATTCTAATTGCTACCAAACTGTCATTTGATTAATACTCTATATAGATGACGCAAATTAATCAGTGGTTCCATCACAGTGTTCTTTATAGTCATTTAATTATTCTTCTTTTTTAATTCCTACAGTCGGAATTTCCCAATTTAACTTTATAGTTCTATTTCTTTTGTTTAGCAATCACAGCTGTAATTTTGAAATACCACATAAAATTATCAAAATATATTAAATCGAGGAGTTGATTTAGCGATCAAGACTCTAGAGTATGTGCTCACATGTTATTTGTCAAAGAATATTTGTTTGAGTATGAAACACAATCATTCGCTGGATTGATGGAGCATTTACTATAACATAATGTATTGGTTTAGTCACCAGGTAAACCACATCTTTGACCTCCCCCCCCCCCCCTCTTCTACTCTCTCTCTCTCTCTCTCTCTCTCTCTCTCTCTCTCTCTCTCTCTATCTATCTCTCCCTCTCTCACTCCATCTTTTCACATTCTGTAGATATCTATTTCAACCCATTTCTCCCTCTTTTCTCTCTCTTTCTATCCTCTACAGTAAATATAGATATTTCCCTTCCCCTCACTTTCTCTTTCTATATTTCCATATTTTCTTATTCTCTTTCTCTCGTCTTAACTCTAACTCTAATATATTTCTTCAATCTCATCGGTCTTGTTAATTACATGGTGTACGTTGTGGATATAAATAATGGCAAGTAACAAGGTTGCTGATTATTAAACCTTGTTCGTCGCACGATTCGATTGAAACATTTGTATTTCATAGAGAATGATTGCAATCTAAATATTATGCAATTAATATATCTTCACATTGTAGGTTGTCTCTTAAGAATCTTATAGGTTGTCTCTTAAGAATCTTATAGGTTGTCTCTTTAGAATCTTATAGGATATCTTTTAAGTTTTCACTAATCGTCCTTGCCATATTCTCTTCATAAACTTTTTGGCCACGCACCAGCGAAAGCCCTACAAAATCACTACAGGCGCACACGAGTATTGTAAGCATAACCAGGGAAGATCATCTCCCTGGCATAACTTAACAACAACAACAAACATATTTTAAGGGGAAATGTATGTAGGCAATCATATTTTACAACAGGGACGATAAATTAGACCGACACCTCGCTTCAGTGGTCTAGCATTACAGCTAAGTGACGAACTTCCTTCGAATTAAGATGTAACAGAGAAGAAAATTTCCCATGTATCCTGCGGGTTGGAGCACTCGCGTCGGTACAACATGAGAGGAAAACGATTGGCCCCAAGTACCGGGACATCCAATTTGTCTCACAAATAATGGGGGTATCAATGCTACTATAATGAAACCCAGCGCCATGTTGTGTGTGTTTATGCGCGACGAGGGGCAACCCCCGGAGGAACGCAAGAAAGAAAAAAAAAAGATGATATGAAGAAGAAAAGAGAAAAGAGCTAGCTACCCCAAGAGTATGATCTATTACTCATTACATCAAGGATGGAAAGGGAAATTAAGAGCGGATATTAATCAAATTAGAAAGACAAGGTGTGATAATTAATTCAGTTTGAGGTTTTCTTAACTAACGGTTCCATGAATGAAATGTTGACTTATAATTAAGGTGAAGAGATATCGTGGTTGATAACTGAACATAAAATGACTGACATCATATTAAAGATTTACTTTTAAACTAACTAACATTTCGTTTCATGTCGAATCATTTCAGATATCATCGCCTAAATCAAGATGTCGTTCTTTGTGTTACAAATGCAATTCTCCTCAGTATTTAATTGAAAATTTGAAATATGAAATACATAATACATGACCAATAAATAAACAAATTTTATATTCAATATATCAATTGACAACTATAATCACAGTAATGGCCATGCGTCTAGTAGGTAATACCGATAAAACTGCTCAACAACTTTTACCACATTAAAACAAAAATTGACCACCACCTTTTTCTTTCCCCAAGGAGTTTACGCTTAATAAAATGAAAAGAAAGTAATATTTTATCTCGTTAATTACGGATATATGTTTCACTAAACATGATAATATATTGTAAGGGCATACACTTTATACAATTTAGATTAAATAATTGTGATTGAATTTAAAGAAAAAAATTGTTTTAAAGCTAGTTGATATTTTTATAAATCTATAATAATGTATACCAAATACGTACTTGTATTCTAAATCACGTGAGATAATGATATCAATAAAAAACAAAGAATGCAAAGCGTACACAATTGTTGTTTCTAATTACAAAATCAAAACCAATTTGATTTATTTGTCCCTTACAGATTTTCTTTTTGTTATTCATAAAGTTGTATCAGAAAAGTATTTTCAGATCACCTATAGATTTGTTAGGGTAGGGTCAACAGTACCCAGCGCCACCCATCAAATTTTGGGATAATTACTTTCTATTACAATTTCAAATATGATCCCAAAAGACAAAAAAAAGTGAGTTATCGATATCACATATTTTCTATAATATAACTTTTAAAAAAAGTACTTTGACAGCTTTAAACGGAGATGTTAACATGGTATCAAAATTGATGGAGATAGTGTAACGCACAAAGGGACTGGTGGGGATAACGGGGGAAATCTAAATTGATACTTGATAATATACATATCTAGCTTCGGCAACCAAAGTTGAAAGAAATTTTCCAACAAGTAACTACATGATCTTAATGATTTTTTTAATCACACTCTTCTCATCACTTACTTTTCCCAACTATTTTGATTAAACAAATACTTTTCTTTTGCTATGCCTGTTTACATATCATTCACATTATGTTTTATAAGAACGCCAACTCTAAAATAACGTTTTTCTTTGATTTTCATTTCTAGCATGCTATGCTGTCTGCCTCGTTTATTTGGAAACTATACTTGCAGCAGAAGTTCTCAAAATGGCCTTATATTAACCACAATAAACTACATAAACAGGTAAGATATTTATATTGTACAGCAAATGTTAAAAGAAATAATATACCCTCGTTTAGCAGACTTTAAAAACTCGACTTTTCAACATAATTTTCTTTCATGAAAGACATAACATCAGGCTATTTGAATCAGATTACAGCATACGTTTTGATGAAAGTGTGTCAATTGGATATTCAAGAGAAACCAGCGTTATTCATCTGTGTAATTTAAGAGCAGATTTCAATAGCCTTTGAACGACAATTTGTTACTTATTCGTTGTATTTGTATAATGGGGAGTATTTTATGCCGCAAGGAATATGGTTTGTACGAACAGTGGAGTAATCGCTTTGACCGACCGGCGACTGAGCGTACGCCTGCCCGGTCGGTGAGGGGGGCTGTCTCGCGTGTTTCGAAGCCAATGGACCAGTGCCTCGCAACAAATCTTAACCGGACGATCAAGTGAATAATGCCCAAAATACGAATAAAAACAGGCATTGCTATACATCAATTGATACTTTTATGAGATGGATTACAGCGTGTTTATGCTATCAAATACATAGAATGGTTAAAATAGAGATTTTGGCAATTTTTAAGTGCAGAGATTCGGGGAAACGTATTACCTTTCTTTATAATATTACATCGTAAGTTGAGAAAATACATAACAATTGACAAAGGGAAAAGTCTGCCGAACGAAATCTAATGATACAAGGGTAAAGTGGTGCTTATTTTATATTATAAGCGTCGTTTCATTTAAAAAGTCGCCTCTTTACCCCAATAAACACAATAAAATATACAAAATCCAAAACTTTTGTTCAATTATTATCACCTTACAAAAGGAGACGTAACTATATTCTTGGTGATAATGAATAAAGCTTAAATCAGTCGTGAAGGGATTTTAGAATGATATGTAGTAGAATGCTCTTTTCCTGCTATTTCATTTACCAAGATTGGTAATTTGATATTCCGTTCTTCCTTCTGTCCTTATCATTTGAACAATATGTGCACTTTTAAATTTCGTGCTGCATGCTGAGAGTTTATTAATTTTTTATGGTATTTAAATTCGTATGAATATGGTGTGATTCTATAGAGAACATTCACTTAATCTGAAGATATGTTAAAGAGTCTTACGCGTCACACGGTTTCTTGAGATGAGTTGATCTCGTTGATATTTAATATGTTCTAGATGTGTATAATCGGAGTTAGTTTAGATACAGTCGGTAGAATGGCAATGCATCATTTAATTATTTTCAAATCGTTTTCTTTATTCTACAAGGTAAATCAAATATCAAGGGTTCATCTTTCTCGAACACTACTCATCCAAGTGATCATTGGTGGTGGTATAACCTCTAACACAATATCATCTTCTAATAATATATTACATGAGTATAACATATACTGCAAATAATAAAATGAATGATATTTACCTGTTTTTGGCTGCTGCTGCTCTGTCACGTTGCCTCCTGTTTTTAAACCAGTTTCCGACCTGTGTCGGTGTAAGTCCTGTGGCTTGAGCCAGTTCACGTTTTTTGGTAGGGTTAGGATAAGGGTCTTGGAGGTACCACTCCCGGAGCAAACTCCGCGTTCTCTCTTTGAAACAATGTGTTTTTTGCTCTCCATCCCAAATGGTTCTTGGTAGGGGGAACTTCTTCCTTACCCTGTACTTGTCGACGGGGCCAAGGGGCCTTCCTCTGAGTTTCTCTGCCTCCTGGTAGTGGGCCTCTAACCACATGGCCTGAAGCTTGGCATGAGAGTCCTTAGTAAATCTGTGGTTCTCCAAAATATGATAGAGTTCACGGTAGTTTCCTTGATGGAAGGAAACGACAGCTCTGGCGCGTAGAACACTTTCATTCTTACTGAGTGCTTCACAGGTCCCGGGAGCAACGGGCAAGGACCACAAAAATCGGGCCAATCTCTCGATGTCTCCACTTTCCTCCAAGGTTTCACAAACGCTGGCGATTTGAGTCGGGGAGAAGCAGAGGGTCGGTAGGGCTGTCGGGAGCGGGAAGAGTGTCCCGCCCGGCGCTGCGGCAGGAAAGGGCACAAACGGTTGCATGCTGGTATACATGTGGGCCAATCTTGCCAAGCCTTCGCTACTACGAGGGTCATGCAGGCTGTAATACTGCGCCAGCGCCTGGGCCGCTCTCATGGCGCCCCGGTCGCTGGGCGATGTTTCTGTCTCCGTCCAAACCATTTGAGCTAAATGCTGGGGTGTGTCTATGAGCAGAGATATGTGTCAGTTTTTATCAGACCCGGCTTGTGACACAACCCATATTATCACTGCTATCATGCTAAGCATTTGTTGGATAAATGGTTTTCGATTGGCTTAGAAGCAATTTGTTGGACCATCACCAAGGGGACCATGTCAATCACTGTCACGCCTGCCAATCACACTGTAGAGAAACAAAGGCATGACCACATGGGCTGGCTGAATAGCAGGTCCAATTACACCAAGAAGAATAGTCGAATCTGCTGTTCGCTTCCAAAATGAGTGGAGCTAAAAAGGGTGGAATATCTTTACGCCTGGATGAACTAATTCCGGTGCACAAGTTTCTTATCATATGAGGTCGCTCATATCGCAAGCCATAGAAAAGCAACCCGTGATAATAATGCGTCCCCCTTCGGGCCCTCCCCCTTTTTTCATACGAGTCTGCGCAATGGCAACTCCTCTCTTGATCTCTCTCTCTCTCTCTCTCCGGAGCTCCTGTTAGACGAAAATCACACCGAGTGCGCCAACAGGCGGTGTGACAAGCACAGTCTGATTCTATGTAGCTGCTAGCTTCAGTCAGTTTATATCATTTGTGTGCTGGTGTGCGTTTGTGTGTGCGTGTGTGTGTTCTGAGTGTATCACACTCACTCGACGGATTGCTAAACCACAAGATTGAATGGTGGGCAAACACGTCTATCCATTTTAGAAATAACAATCATCGACCCTTCTTCTCTTGGAAGAGCCTGACGCAGGAAGAGCTAAAGGCGATGGCAATCCGCGCATTTTAATTGACACTAATTACTGCTATTGTTATTACAACAACGCCAAAACGCGGTCTGAATAGACGGCTAAGGCCTGAATTTGCAGTCAGCTCATATCCTGACCGTTTTCAGTGGCGTTAAGAAGCCATACAATACCCACCCATCGAGAGAGAAGAGAAGAGAGTGGCAGGGAAAGAGGGGAGATGAGCAAAGCTGAAAAAGGAATAAAAGATTGTCACCACAATCCAACAATTACTTCCCGATTCACTTTGAAAAGTGACCTCTTCCACTGACACCCTCTGAATAAAGAGACACCACAATTATTCCACGCTGACACAATGACAAATTACATCCGTGAAAAATGCTGTCCACATAGGGGTAAGAAAGGGAAGGTAAATATGCCATCGGAATGAAAGAAGGGGTTTGGAGTTTCTAAACGGTAGTCGATTGACGAGAGGAGGAGAAAGGAGGAAGGAAGACATAGATTGAGAGAGATGTCATAATCTCTAGAACATGACAGAATATCGCCACATAATGACGACAAGGCATTCAATAATCCGAGTTGAGATTGTGCGTCGATCGCAGCTGGAATTTCACACAAACCATCAAATTGAACATTTTGATATTTTGGGGAGAGGAGTAAATAAAAGATATTTACCTCCTCACATACTGTGATGTCCTTTTTATGCATTCAGACATTTAGAATGGGTCCTTGATTTAGGGTTTTCAGACACTGTACGTTAGAGAGAGGAAGAAAGCCAGCAGCATGCACTAGTAAAAATTCAATTATTAAGATAGAAAAGAATATATGTTTGATGAGGATGTAAGCTAGAGATTACAGAGATGGAACAAATTTCAAAAAGACGAACAAGTACAGGGGAAAAGCTTGCATTCTACCATTCAATTGATCATGATAAAATTGGTTTCTAAGAAAGACACACAAAGATCCTTAAAATAGTACTGGTCATTGAACTCTATCCACAATAATTTTACAATGTCGCTCTCAATAATGTCGCAATAATTTGAATTTGTAGTAATATAATACAGTATAATGTTTCACAAAATTAAGAGACAGCTTTAAGATTCAAATTGTCTTGACCCTCGGTAATATTACCCGTATCATTCAGCGTAATCTGGGAATTGGTCCTTTTTTTAAAATCCATTATTACCGATTCGTAATCTAAAAATCCTCTATAATCGTGGATTGGTCTTATGGGGGAATGAAACATGTATGCATATGAATTATGTAGGTCTCAGATTACAACAATCATGTTTATCAACTAACATTCTCTTCCAATTTTTTGATGACATTTCCCACGCTGGAATAAAAGGCAATCATGTTTTGTTTTATCCTTATTGCCCGACATTAAATAGCTTTCAAAGCGTTGTCATGTTTAATTTGTTTGCACTTCAATTTAATCCCGCGGAGTTACTTAGCGCAATGAGCGATGGCTGAGTTGAAAGGGATGTAATTCAATTGATCGGGCTATCTTTATCACAAAGTCAACTCATTAAGTAGAAATGAAGTCAAACATTGTATCCCTCGTGTAATAGATTTCATCACGGTCATCAAGGTTATGGTCGTTCACAATTCAAGTCCATGTCCCGTTAAGTAGTTTTAATACAATACTGCAGATGTGTCGAATAAAATACCAAAATTATTGAAATGGAGCAATTCTATCGAGATTATCCAGTTTTGTAGCATTCATATAACTACCATAGGAAAATGGGTAATAGTACATGTTACGCGGTCCCTAATATAATTTAAAGGAAAGAGTGAATTATATTTGTTTAGGGGGTTGAAATCATTTAAAACATGAGAAATCCATGTTTCCTGGAAATGATTAATATATAAAACACTCTAAGATCTAGGCCTTTCAAGCGATTATTGTCTATTCAAATGGAAATACAGTGCCCCCACCAGATGATAGCCTTTCGACAAGCAGATGTAAAATAAATATATTTTATAATATCACATATGGAACTTTTTAAAGAGATGAGCGCTATTCGCTTCTTTAATTTGTTGTCATTTTTTTTAAACTTACGAGAGATAGAGGGGCTATAGCACACGTGCTGAATGTAATACGTATATCACATCACCATACACTTCTGCAGGTGCCATAAAGGTTTCTCAGAAATCCTAGTGAATCTAATTTCACATTAAACCGACAAGTACGACGCCGACCAATAAACTACTGTCACCTGAGAGCCCATGACACCGAGTCTCATTAATTTACTCCATGTTTTCTTCGCGGATAAGGGAGGAAAAACGAATAAATGAAATAGAGCGAAATCAAATAAAAATCTGTGTGACTCCTTGCCTTCCCCGTCCAGCAGCGGCGAGCAATTAGAAAGATGAAACCTTATTGTGCGTTACCACACTCAATTCGTCGTCCTCAAAATTGAATCTTCTCTGCCCTATTAAGTCGAACAATTTTCGACACTTCAACTCCTACTTTGGGAAATATGATTTGGCATAATTGCTCCTCTTTTTAGACGCGCGGCGTGTATGATTTTTTCCCCTTTCTTTTTCACTTGTGGCATGCATGCATGCTGTAGACGCCAGATTACATTGCCATTACATGGACTACATGTATTGTATACTAACCCTCACCCTTTAGGCTATGGGCTCTGAATTACAGCGGGAATTAAATCGAAGCAAAATTGTTGTACTACGTTTATCCAATATTTTTATATCAATCTGTCTAAGTGATTTTTCTTCTTCTTCATCTTCACGAATTTCTCTCTAGATGGAGATCATTAATCAGAATCACGTTGTTAAATCGCTGTGAAAAGAAACGATATGTGTAAAGTACTTTTGCTTCAAAATTTGTTTAATGATTCCGTACAAGATGTATAAAATATATACTATTTTGATACATTAACTTTTTAACCGAGATTAAATTATATTATTGAATGATAAATTTAAATCAATTGCTATAGTTTCATTTATCTAAAGCGCAAAAAAAATGTTTGAAAGAATCCTGACCCCCCCCCCCATTTCCTTTCTCCCCCCCCCCCCCCCAACCCTCTCGTTCTCTAAAGACTCTATTCGACATTTTAGAAAATAGTCATATTCTTCTTAGTTTCACTTAAATAATATGACAATTTTTCGGAGTACCGTTTTTCCATAAGTAGTGTAAATTAATGAGTAAACGATTCTGACTGCTTAATTTCTTAATTTTTTTTTTTTAATTGCCTTTGTAATTGAAGTATACTTGGCTGAAAAAGATTACTAAGATTCCAGTGTTTTTTACTTAAACATGTAAAAAGGGTTTAACTAAGGAAAAAGGGAAAATGCTAAAAACAAACAAGTTTCATAATAGGTGAATGAGAGAAAGCGATGTGTAAACCGTGTTTAAATAATGGTGATGTATGTGACTATTTTGAAACACCGAGGGAGGATAATGTGATGGATCAGGAGAAAATTAGAGAGAAGAATGTTGAAGATAGCCAGTGTCAGAACATAAACAGGGAAATCATCCTGACAGACGACACTCTTTGAACTTCCTTCCTTTTTTAAACGCGCCATTTTGCGCCAGACGTTTCATGTATGTATCGCACTCATCAGGGGAACGCTATAAGTGAATGATGGCCACGAGTCTCATCACAAAGTCTAGATCTTAGACAGGTGGTTCAATAAAAACCCTCTAATAGCACCGTCTTGGCAATTTACACCTCAATCCTACGGGGAAGGTCGTCGTACGGGATGGACATGGGTGAGCGCAAGGGGTACACGTTTGCCCCCCTCTCAAGATTGCGCATCCCAATCCGTTAGCATTTGTTTCCTGTATCTTTTAGAGTGATAATTGCATGATCATTGATCACTATTTAAAATTTAATATAGTGTCTATCAATCGGAGGGTCAATGTTTCCTGATGCGACCACTATCAACATTTGAATATGCATTCACACTAATTGTCATACGCGACGATAATAGTAATCTATTGTGATCTGTTGGATCATAATGATAATTCATAGGCAAACATAGACAAAATAGGACAGAGATACTTGAGCTACACAAAGGTGAATTGCGCATGTTAATTTAATTAATGAAAACTGTTGCCTAAGGCATAGTCATAATTATTACTTTATATATCATAAGTGGCGAAATCTGACGTTTAGACATACTAAGAATAATTTTAATCCCAAACAATTGTCAGTTAATACTGTAATCTTCTCATGATATTATATTGGTTAGTTCAGGGTATAATAAATCTTACTTTTCACTGGCTAGAATTAAATCTCTATCGAGGTACACATTGCAGCATAATCGAAACGATGAAATAATTTTAATGCTTGAGACCACAATAATTGCGATTTATGAATGATTCTTATTCTAAATAATGTTCAATGTTCCTTACGGCGACATTCCTTTTGATTTTAAAGATAGTTATAAGACATTTTATCCATTCATGGAGTGATATATTTATTCACAATACATCTACAAAATAACATCAACAGACAACAGGGTCTCGATGACATTTTTAAGTACCTTGACTTAAAGATTCACATACAACAATCGACCAAAATATCTACCGACTATATTTTTAATTTCGTATTTTTTAAATTTCAATCCTATTGCCAATTTTATGCTTGACTTTAAGCTATATCCGAGGACACGTACTTATTTTTACATCATTAGATACCTAGTGGCGCTTTTGCTTTCACTAATTTATTTGCAATATAATCAAATAT